GTGTATGAATTAACAAGCCGGTTTTTGTGTGACGACTGTTGCTAGTGATAGTGTGGAAGCAGTATCGAGCTGAATCTTCACTCCGGAGAGTCTATGCATTCCATATGTAGAAATTCCTCATTAAACTGAAAATGATAGTTTGTATTTTAATTTAACAAGTTAAATTATAATAGCAGCTTAGCACTGATTTCCGAGAATAAACAAAGAATGAATCCCATGTGGGTAGTGTTGGGATATTTTCAGCAAAGTTGTATGAGAGTATGGATGTGGCATCCTTCTTATGTTTGACTTTAGCTACAGAATCATCAAAAGTCATTTTTCCAAAAATATTAGAGGACTCTCACTTTTTCCAAAGTTCTGTTTTACTCCTTTGGTCATTCTCAATGGAAACTCCCGTGTGGATTTCTTCTTCTTTAATTCTTCATTAGACTGGTTGTCATTGGCTTTGAGTGGAATCCTGTCATTGACTGATATAATTTTTGTGCACTCCCATTGTATTCTGTATCAGTGGCTGATTTGCAGTTCTAGTTTGCAACTTATTTACTTGGTCTAGTCATTATACCATCTGATATCTTAACAATTTGCAAGAGGTCACTAAAAGGATAAAATAAAATAAAATAAAATAAAATATATAAACATAGTAGCATAGTAGATGCTCAATTAACGGGAAAGCCATCCCCTTCTTCACTTTCCCCAGACTTTGTGTATCCATTTGCACTTTATGCCTTTGCCTAGACTCTTCCATCCTTTGAGACAGGTCAGTTCACAAAGGAATATTTTCATGTTATGGCTACTTGTGCTTTCCTATAAAACATTATTATGAGCTTGTAACTTAGAGCCCTTGGGAAAAGAGAACCCTAGCGTGTAAATGGTTGGAGGCCTGGGGTGGTGGGCATTTCTAGAAGCTGATACTGCCACCAGGGTGAGCTGACAGAGATCTGAATCATACGATATTTGCGATATGGTTCAAAGAGACCAGTTATACTTGAAACTTAGTTGAGATTAAATTAACAGGACTGGTAGTTTGGGCAGCTGGAGATGTAAACTTGGAGAAGGAACTCAAAAGTGGAGCTGGGAAGGTGGTGGAAATTGTGAGGTAGGTTTTTGATCCTCTGAAATGTGATTTTGGTGGCCTTTTTGCCCTCCATGGGAAAATAAACAACCCACGCCAATCAATCACACCCACTGGCGTTTTAGAAAAATTCCTTTTGGTTTTTAAGTCTTTGATCTCTGTTCAGAAGTCGAACCCTTGACAGGGCTGACATTTTGAGCTGCTAACATTCACCCCAGCGCCAGTGGATGGTTTGATAGGGGAGTCTTGGAGGAGAATGGAGGGCGCGACTGCTGAGGAGGTACAGAGGGCCTGCCATAGAGTGCAGCCAGGGCACCAGGCCTGCTAGACCCGAGGGGACCAGCAGGTGTGCTTGAGGCTTACATCGTTCAGATTCTATATACTCAGGGACATTCTTGAATGTGGCCATGAGTTTTGTTCTCCACAGTATAAGCCTCTGGTCTGATCAGACCCACTTCCTCCTCACAGTGGCTTGAAAGCGCCGGCTCTCAGCTTTGCCTTCTGCTTCTCCTGCTTTTGGTGTCTGTTCCTGATCCGCCTCCTTTCCCTCTGTCCACATACTCCTAGGCCTCCCCTTGCCTCCAGCTGCCCGCGACTGTCCCTCCATGTCTTTCACCATAGCCTTTATTCTTTGCATCATGGGTGTTCAGCATTTGAGTAATATTTGTTCTAGGTTTACTCTGTCATGCGTGTATGCATTTCTCAAAGCCTGTGCCATGAAGCAGTGTGATCAAATTAAACACCCAATGGGTTGTAATCAAAGGGTAGGAAATGCTGGTTTTAATAAAGGTTAAAAACCTTTGGTTTTGTTAAACCTTAGGCCTCTGCATACCTTTAATTTATAAATGTAAATCCTGAATCCCTATGAAGTGTTTCTCAAAGTATTTACTTGTGTAGGAACCTGTTTTTCATCTTACAGGGCTAGTATTCTGCAGGACACCATTTGCAGAAGGGCTGTGGTAATTGGCTTAGATTCTGGAAGGGTGGAAACCACATTGCCCTCCACTGTGGATTTCCCTGTTATAAGCTGAGGGCTGTCATCTCTGAGAAAACTCTTGGGACACTTTCTAAAAACTTTTTTATTATGGTAAAATTGATCTAAAATTCACCATTTCAACCACTTTAAAGTATACAGTTCAGAGGCATTGAGTACATTTACAGTGCTCTGCAACTATCACCATCATGTGATTTTATCACCCCAAAGCAGTCACTCCCCATTTCCCCTCCTCCCTGGCCTCAGCAAACACTAATCTGCTGGATTTGTCTATTCTGAATATTTCGTATCAGTGAAATCATATAAAACATGGCTTTTTGTATCTGGCTTCTTCGATAGAAGTATAAGGTCATAGACTGTGTAATACCTCTGCTCCCCCAACACATCTCTTTATTATTAGCCAGACTCCATAGAACTGAGTAAAAAAGCAATTCTGCCTCTGGAAACCTCCAAGTCATGTGGCTAGGCTTAAAATATCGTGGAATGCTGTAGAAAGGGTCAATAGTGTGGATGGTTGCCATTGACATGACTTGACCTGGGGTTTCAGGAAGTTGACTTGAGCCTGGCTGGGAGCCCTTTCCTGAAGGTCAGAGGTGACTGAGCTGTTGGTATGATTGGCTTACCACCCTCACCCCATCCTCTCTCCAGTGTGAGGTCTACATTTCAAGCTTCTCGTCATTTAATAACCATTGAGCATTCTAGAGTGGGCTGGTTCTTCAGGGGCAGCTGGCAGGCAGGTTGTGCCATCCACTGCATTGCAGAACCTGCCTTTGGGCACACCCTTCAAGCCTGAGGGCTCATGCAGAAATTGGAGGTCCCAGGGCTCTCTGTCTCAAGTGTTGGAATTCCCAGGGGCTGGTTATCCCTCATCTACTATAAAGACAGCTGTTGGCCTCCCCTTGTAGCATCCTGTGCTCATCTGCCTTACAAGCTTGTGCAATCTCCTGGTTCCATCGAATTGCCCAGGATCTCTCTTCTCTGAGCTGCACCCTTCAGTCTTCCATTCATTGATGCCTTGAGTCCAGGCACAGTATTACCAGGTGTGTCACCCATCTGCCTAAAATACACTGTTTTCAATGTGCCATTCTTTTACTGAAGAGTCTGTGCTATTGTCTTGGTGTCTAAATTCCTATTTAGTTTTCTAGTCCATCTCTTTCCTTTTTGGTGTAGACTATCTCCCTTCATACTGATCAGGTTGGTCTCATTCCTCTTCTCTCTCAAGCCCTTAGCTTCTCCTCCCTGGGCTTGGAATGACTGCCTGCTGTCTCTCATTTCTTCCCTGACCAGTGTAACCTAGCTCAGTTCAAGGTTCAGCAGTTGCACAAAGCTTCCCAAACATTCTAGCAACCCTTGCTTCTGATACTAAACTCGTGTTGCACTCTAACACCATAGGATTTAGAGCTGGTGGGCAACTTTTTTTTTATATACTTAATCTTTTCTTCCCAATTAGATGACCTGCTCTTGGAGGAAGGGACAATAAAGTTAAGCAGATAAAGTGGGAAGGCATTGGACTGTGAATTCAAGATCCAGGTCACCTCTGGGTGCAGCTTCTTGCTGTGTGTTACCTTGGCAAAACTACTTATCCTGAACTTTCATTCTCATCTTTAAAATGAATGGGGGTTAAGGAGGGTGTATTAGATTCCTATTTGCTGCTATAATAAGTTACTACAACTTAGTGGCTTAAAGCAACACAAATTTATTTTCTTACTGTTCTGGAGGTCAGAAGTCAAAAATAATTTGGCAGGGCAACATGCCTTCTGGAGGCTCTAGGGAGAATCCATTCCCTGTCTTTTTCAGCTTCTGGAGGCCCACTGCCTGCATTCTTGGCTCATGGTTCCCTCCTTCATCTTCAAAGCTCATTGCTTCATCTCCTCGCTGTGTCCATGATTCCCTTTTTTCTTTATAATGACGCTTGTGACTACATCGGACCCACCCAGTTAATCCAGGATAATCTCCCCTCCTCAAATTTAATCACATCTCTAATGTCTCTTGTGCCCTGTAAGGTAACACATTCACAGATTCTGAGGATTAGGATGTGATTTGGACATAGGGCCATTATTCTGTCTACCACAATGGGTTTTTAGGCCTCTTGTATCTCTGCCATGCCATGAATCTAAAGACAGATTTCTCCTAGTTATTTAAGGAGCTTTAGCACTATACTAGGCTGATTAATTATGTTTTTCCATGAGAATTTTGTCTTCTTGGATTGTTACTAGGGATTCTAGGGCCTGATACAACTCAGTAATAGAACTGAGTGCAAACCTTAGGATTGTTCTGTTCTTAGGTTTCCATGGACTGTACTTTTATTAGCAAAAATTTGATGATGCTCCTCTACCTATCTTTGATGTTTGTGCTTTGTAAGTTCTGAAAAAGCCTCAAAGAATGTAATCTGTTTCCCAGTAACCTGGGATAGTCTTTAAACAGCTTAGTAATTCTACTGGTGATTCTGCTATTTCTATTGGTCTCTCTGTAAATGCCTGAATGTGTTTGCAGGTCCTCTTGCATAAGTTGAAGCCGATCCATTGTTAAGGTCTAGAAGCCAAATAGTCTTGGATACTAACCTAACTAGTTTCATTTGTAACTTCTACTTAATGTTATAGTGTTACATAGCAAATTAGATTGGCATTCGCATGGGTGCTATGCTATTTTTCCTGACATCCCATGGGGTGATGTCCACGTTGGCTGACCACTGTTTACAAAGCAGTGAGAAAGCGTTCATAAAACATATTTATAGTGACTCTGTTGTTTTCTCCCCAGTGCTCAGCTCATTGTGCCGAGATAGAATTCCCCATTGGTTGAAAGATGCACCCCCCGCCCCCACCATATAATTTTAAGTTGAGGTTATTTTTGACCACTGAGTCTGAAAAATACACAGTGTGAGTCAATCAAACTGCAGCCTGTGTATTGAAGTTTTCTTTCCCTTTTGTTTCCTAGATGCACCCACTGGGCCTGTGTAATAACAATGATGAAGAGGACTTGTATGAATATGGCTGGGTAGGAGTGGTGAAGCTGGAACAGCCAGAATTGGACCCGAAACCATGCCTCACTGTCCTGGGCAAGGTAAGTACCAGGCCCTCTGAATCTCTCCAGTTCTGATTGGTGTTCTCCACTTTCCCATCTCCTCAATTCCTCAGATAGTTGGTTACAGAGAAAATCCCGGCACAGTGCTCCTTTCTAGATGACGTTGAGTGGGTTGAGCACTAAGACATGTCTTGTAGCAGCCCACCATGGTATTACAAGCTTGGACTCTGATGGACACTGCCAGCCTCAGTCATCTCCGCCTTTGTCCACTTTGTGGCCTTAGGCAAGTTACTTCTCCTCAAGGACTCTCAGTTTCTTATCTGTGAAATGGGTTGATAATAGAGATTCACAAATACCTTAACTTATACCCTTGGGGCCAGATGTTTCAGAATTCTGAGACTTTGAGGGTTTAGAAAGGTATTAAGGTGTCAAACACATATTTGTGGGACAAACTTTATGGATATTCACATTAGTGGGCTAACTGAAATCTAAATAGCCTCATGTTAGTTCAGGGCAGCTTTGCCTCCAAAATGAGTTCAGGTCCATTAAGTTTTGCTGCCAAGTAAGCTATGGAAAAACTTTTGGGTCTTAGAGCTTTTTTGGTTTTGGAATGGCAGACAGCAATTATGCTCCTGTATTAGAACTTACCTCATAGGATGGTTAGGAGGGGACACGAGAGCAAGCGTCTAGCACAGAGTACCCTCCCAAAACATGTTTGCTACCAGCGGCCGCTGTTATCCCATTTAGAAGTACTAAAAAAGACTTTTTTTTTTTAGCCAAGAGTATCAGCATTACCTCTGACTGCAGTGTAAGATAGAAATAAATTTATTTTGTAAAACCATTCATCAGTGATCTTAAAATATGTCAGGTAACAACCTGTTTTAAACTGGATCGTTTTGTGAAAGGGAAAGGTTTGGAGGAAGTTATTAGAATTTTGATTGGAGGAAAGGTGGTATCTCCTAAGGGTAGTGTTATTGCCTGGATATTTTTTATGTTCTCAGAAGCTGCTGTTCTAGGTACCGTGGGGAGACGGCTGGGGGGAAAAACTGTACTAGTCCCTGGGCTCTTGAGGATTTTTTTGGCGATCCAGGCAAGAAAAGAGGTGGTTTTGATGCAGGGTACTTGAGAGGGAGCCTTTTCCAGCCTTGAAGATGTCCCAACCAATGACTCCTGAAAGACTTTTGGCCCAGGAGACCCTCATGCGTCTAATCTGTGATTTTTTGCTTCCCACCTGTCTTCTGAGTAGCTTCCCAGCACCTGTCAAGTTCTTTTGCCCCTTTATAGGAAAAAACAAACAAACACAGAAGTTATTACCTGTTTGGTTTACAGTTCACAAAGTCAAATGAAGGTGTTTTAGGTGGCCCAGGCCCTGATGCTTCGTCGTTTAAATAGTTGGCCAGAACTGCTTAATGATGCTAGGAGAGCAGTGGCCCCCTTGAGAATATTTTAGTGTTTTCCTAGGAGAAATGCCAGCTATATCCAAAGGCTATAGGAACAGTGCTTTCCTTGTAGGTTTTACCCTCCTAATAGAATATTTTCTCCTTTACTTAAGCTGCTGCTATGCAGGGCTCAGCAGCTTGTCCTAATTTGCTTTGCCCCAGTTCAGTGGGACTCTACCTTTGTGTTTGTTGTGTCTGTAAGGTGGGAACAGAGCTCCCAGGACACCGTCATGTTGTTGTCGCCCCCGCCCCCATCTTCTTGTCCCATTGTTTCTTCCTCTACCTAAAACAGCCCTGTAGTGAGTGGTCTTACTTGGAGAGTTTTATGTGGTTTGGCCTGCTGGCCTGTGAACCCAGGGGGAATAAAAACCCAGATATATATTGAATCATTAAGTACTTCTTGGGTTTATTCATTCACCAAATATTTATTGCATGCAGGGGCCCAAAATCTAAGCATGTGGTTCTACCTG